AATTGRCCATATTTTCAAAGAAGTTTTCCTCAGAAGGAAAAATCTAACAGACTTTGAGTGAAGCTACTATGTAAAGGAGCCTCTACAGATCCCAAGACCTTTGAGAAAACCACCTTAATCTTCAAATGCAGCATAATGCAGTGAGATTCCTCCAGATATTKTGAGTAAAAGGCTCATTCAGGCTGAAACATCATCTATCAATCATTCTTAGGCATGAGGCAGACAGTCTGAGAGGCCACACTGGACCTACTCAGATTTTGAAAAGAAATTAGTTTACATTAATATACTCAGGACAGTCCAGTCTTTTTGTTTATTTGGTTTTTTGGGGTAGGAGGAGGTATCAGGGATTGAACTCAGGGCCACTCAGACACTGAGCCCCATCCCCAGCCCTATTTTGTATTTTGAGACAGGGTATCACTGAGTTGCTTAGCACCTTGCTTTTGCTGAGACTGGATTTGAACACGCTATCCTCCTGCCTCAGCCTCCTGAGCAGCTAGGATTACAGGCGTGGACCACCTCATCTACCTGGATAGTGTAGTCTTAATTATCCACAAATTGATTATTCACCTTGTGGATTTCTAAGGCCAAATCTTTAATTCAAGATTATCTGCTATTTGCCATCATTGTATTCTTACCATCAGGTAAACTGTTTTAGAAAAGTAAATCTCATTTCAACTTCACTAAAATCCTAAAATAAATCTGGGTTAAAATATAATGCATTTTCAAAAGCAACAAATTTCTTAAATTCTGAATTTCTATACCAGTGTTCCCTATGTTAGTAGCAGTAATAAACAGTTAAATGTACTTTGAAATATAATACCCTCCTTACCATAAGCTCTTGAGAACCCAGCCATAGTCTTAAGATTTCCCCACAAGTTGGTACACTCTTCGATGGGCACAAGCAGAAATCAGCAGAGTGAGGTGTGTAAACACAAAAACTTCACGAGGAATCTTATATCTCCTTGCTGCATCCCTTCAAGCCAAAATGGTAAAGAGAAGCAGAAGAGTCACGATGTACCGGTGCCCGCCTGACTCCTTGTCCCTGAGTTCCTGGACCAAAGGGCTGAATACTTCTCATTAAATTCATCCTTTGTTCAAGGACCTACAATGAATCTATTGACCCTTCTATCAACATACAACAGTCTGGCCTCTGAGTCCTTCCACCCTCTTGCCTGTTCTACCCATGACCTGACCAACCCATATTCTCATTCTCATGACCCCCCCCACACAATTTAGTCATTCACACCATCATTGCACTCTGTAAATTCTATAATTTCTCTTTGGATGATCCTTTCTTTTCTTCCTAACACCAAAAAACTGTTTCATTTACTTGAATGTTCATACTCATTTTACAGATAGAGAAGTAACTCGTCCAAGGTCACATTGTAAAAAAAAAAAAATCAAACCAAGATTTCAACCAAGGTTTGTCTGATTCCATAGTCTATACCTCTTTATGACTAATCCATAGCCTCCCAAGTCCATTTCAAAATGTACTAGTTCAGTAATCTCCCCTGGTTTATCTAATTGTTACTTCACGTTTTGTCAGCCCTTACAAACTACTCTTGTAGCACATTAAACTTGGTTTTGTTAATATGCTGTTTCCTAAATGTTAAAGCTTATGATAGCTTAATTTAAAAGAAGAAAAAGTCCTTTCTATATTAAAAAAAAATCAACATAATTCAAGATTCCTTTCAATACACAATGGGGGAGGGGCGGTTAGGGATGTTGAATCTAGAAGTGCTTTACCACTGTACCACATCCCCAGTCCTTTATATTTTTTTGAGACAGGGCCTCACTAAGTTGATGAGGCTGGTCTTCAACTTGTGATTATCCTGTCTCAATCTCCCATACTGCTGGGATTATAAGTAGGTGCCTGGCCCCAGTTATACAAATGTTTAATTATTTGAATTTATCAGGAGCTACCCAGAAAATTCCAGTCTGCTATTCCACAGCTTCTGAGTTCCCATAAGAAGGATGTTACTGAGGTCACATTTCAAAGCACGATTAGAGGGTCTTTCCTTTCAATGGGGTAAGTGGGTAAAGGAAGGCATATTTCCCTATACATACACAGAAACAGACTCACTGTAATTGGCATTGGCCTCTGCCATTTTCCTTTAGMATGCTTGAGATATTCAGGAACTCCAAAATTTTAATAAGTGGTACATAGAGTCCCCATAATAATGTGGAAACATTTTTAATATTGAAGTATTCCATCATAACTCTCTTGATTACATATCTCAATTCCTAAATTTATTCAACCCTTTTAATCATACCCCGTAGATTAATATATGCAGTTTAGCTAAGGGAAGTTACAAGATACAGATATAAGCGGAATCTACACATATTGGCACCAACCAACTCATAGAGAATAAAGCAAGACACTGGGAGAGTTATAGTGATTTTAAAAAATGAGATTTTAGTCTCTAAATGAAATCTTTTTTTCGCCAAGCAAACAAGGTGACAGGGGTAGATACTAAGCAATTAATGATTCAGAACACTTTCAAGGTGTTGATGACAAAACACCAAATTCTAATAATTAGCATTTATTACTGGTCATCCTGCCTTATACAAGTTATACCCTTTCTTTTTTAATATTTATTTTTTAGTTGTRGTTGGGCACAATATCTTTATTTTTATGTGGTGCTGAGGATTGAACCCAGGGCCTCACAGRTGCTAGGTGAGCACCCTACCACTGAGCCACGACCCCAGCCCCTCATATAGCTCTTTCTTTGGCAAAGTTTATTTATTTATTTATTGAGGGAGACTCTGGTATTAAATGAAAGGGATATAAAAAAATAAAAATAAAAATAAATAAAAAAATAAATGAAAGGGATAAATCAAATCCGGCAACACCAACAAAAATCAGTAATAGTTTGGAAACTTTCATTTTTCCTTCTTGCTTTAATGTGTAATGTCCAAAGAAATATTTGTTCAATTCTGAATTATTCATGCTAATGGATAATTATTGGCAGAAAGGTGCCGATAATCCAAAATGGGAGGAAAGGCTTTTTTAAAATCTATTTTGGTTTTKAAATATGTTTTCAGCATATTTATCTTCTCAATTATTCTTGGTATGATCTAATATTTGTATTCATTTGCAAAGTCTAAGTACACAGTAACTGGCCACTTAGTCTAAGAGGTGCTCTGAGGCATGCCAGTTTGCTAGTGGAAATGAAGACTGCTTTTCAGCCTGTACATGAGTAACGTCAATTTAATTTACTTTATAGTTCTGTTCAGCTTTCAAAATATCAATAGACTAACACACACCAGCTTGGTTACTAAATTTTAAAAGACCTGCTTGAAAAAAAAAAAAAAAAGGACAAAGAATGTAATTAATTCTTCACTGTTTGTCTATAATGTATTCATCTGGAAATTATGCACAGCAAATGTTTAACTACAAGTCTGAGTCTGATTCTCCCTGGCCACCCAGCCTAATTCCCTGCAGACTTCTCTACCCCATCAGGAATGTAATGTCAACTTAAGTTATATACCATAAAAACGTCTTTAAAATACTGCGGGACTAACTACTCTTTGGGGCTAGTCCTACCACTACCTCTTCTCTCTACACGAATCTTTCCCACCTTTGAAATCGGTCCCGAAAGACAAAGGGATTCAGTTTCCTCCACGACCACCTAAACACACAGTAGAAGCCAACGACTGAAAAATCGCCAGCCTCTGATTTTCTAGATAAAGCATTTGATACCGTACTTATAAAAAGATAGGGGAAATAAGTCAAAATCTGCTAATTCTTGGCTTTGCAGTCTTAAAAAGAAAACTCCCGGCAAAGTTCTGGGAGGACTTCTTAAAATCTCACCAGTCAGCTTCTCCCAACTTTGCGATGTCACCGTCGGGGCTGCGCCCAGAGGAGCCGCGAGGTCAGACGGGCACCGACCCTCGAGGCGGGAGAGGAGCGCCGGTGCCCGCGAGCCGAGGGCTAAAAATACGGCGGCCGTAAACAGATCCCCTCCCTCGCCAGCCGCCGCTAGCCCGGCAATTACGGAGGAGTGAGCTCACGCAGCCCCGCTTACTCAGCCTCAGCCTCTAAAGTTTCCACCGTCACGGCCACTTTCCTTTTCCTCAAGTTCAAGGGCCGGCCCCGAGTCCCCCGGCGCGTCTTTTCCGCCCCCTTCCTCCATGACGGCTCGCACCTCAGCCCGGCCCCGGAGCGGCCGTCTCCCCTCCCAGCCTCCGGGATCCCGAGGCTCCGGAGGCACTTCAGCCCGGCACGAGGGAGCAGCCCGCACCTAGCCGCCCTAAACTCCTCCACCTCCCCAAAGTCCGCTTGACAGGCGGGGACCGTCCCAACCGCCCGGCCCGCTCCGGGAGAGGCCGGCGGGGGAGCGACGCCGCGCCGCGCGCAGGTGAGACCCGGCGGGCGGGGACSGGGTGCCGGGAGGCGGCCGCAGGTGAGGCGCGGTCGGGGAGGAGGGGCGCGCAGTGCGGGGCAGAGGGCCGGGCGTGGGACCCGGAGGGGCGGGCGGGGCGGGAGGGAGTCGGGCTGGGGGCTCCGTTACCCTCGCGACTCCCGGGCCAGGCCCTAGGCCGGGGCGGAGCGCGGGGCCCGGCCGCCGCTCCTCATTCCTCGGCAGTGACCCCGGGGTCCGACCGGCCCCTCCCCCGACGACGATGGAGGCGGACGCGGTGGCGGACACTGCGACCGCGGGTGTCGCTCCGCACAGGATCTGGAGCCGAAGCCAGACGGGACTGATCAGGACTGGCCTCTCCCAGGGGCTTTTTGCCTGCCACACACCCGGCCGCCGCTCCGACTCCGGCGGCTGGTTCAGGATCGGTGGCTTTCGGCCGTCCGGCCGGAAACAAGCGCCAGTTTCCGGCCGGAGCGGGTTGGTGGTGACACCCAAGCCGCCCCCGGGCCTCCTCCCGCCCCGCCCCGCCCAGTAGCAGCCCCGCCCAGTAGCAGCCCCGCCTTCAGCGCCGCTCCCGGGGCTGTGGCTGGTTTGGCGTTTGCCCTGCGAGTGACCCGGTGCTTTCCTGCCCTGCGTTCCTAAAGCCCCTGGACCGAACGTCTTGAATAGGAGCTGGAGGGTATAGGGTAGACTTTTGAGAATTTTGAGTAGAGTGAACTGGCTCCAACCCTTTGGGAAGGAACAGAAAGGGGTAGGCTAGTTCTAGAAAGGTGAGAGGATGGAAATACTTTAGAAAAAAAAAAAGTGAAATTTTAGTTACTCTACACAATCATCTGGACTGAGACGGAAAATTAACAGCGCTTCTTCCAAAACAGCCTCCACCCAGTTATGCATTTCCCCTGTTCCTGTGTTCTTGAAGTGAACATACCCTTCTCTATAAACACTTAATATTTACTTGCGTAACAACAATACCCTGTTGACACATCCGCCTTAGAATGTTAGCACAATCAATAAAAGTTATGTCGCACTTTGTGCTTGTAATAGCTTTTACAGCATTACAGCATAATTTGACTCAAATATTTATTGAATTCCTACTATGTGTAATGCAATGTGCGCAATGATATTGTGGAGGTAAAAATCATCAGTACATAATTCCAGTCATCGAAGATCTTACTAAAAATTTAGTAAAATATATGAAACTTTCACATAAGGCAGAACTCACATATGTGCTATGTGAGTTACAGTAAGCTATGAATTTGAGAACATAAATAAGCCATCTGTGCCACATAGTAGAACTTCCACATTTGTTAAAMGAATAAATAAACAGGAGAATGTGGAATGTTTCAAATAAGGGGCGTTGAATAACTATCTATGACAAAACAGAACCAGCTCCTGTTACAATACAACCAAAGTAATCCTAAATTTTAATTCATATTCCTAACATTATGGCACCTGGTCTGCATATTCAAGACAGTGTTTATTGTCTAAATTGTGCTCCTTAGGCCTAGGTAAAATAAATATTACAGTTAACTTCTCCTTCCTCTCACTACTTCCTGCAGTTCAGTTTCTGACACCTGAAAAAGGAAACTTCCTAAACAGTAATGACTCTTCAGAATACCCTGAGGTTTAAAAGTTGAAGATTGCTGGGCATGGTGGCACATGCCTGTAATCCCAGACACTCGGGAGTCTGAGGCAAGAGGATAGAAAGTTCAAGGCTAGCTTCAGAAACTTAGTGAGGCCCTAAGCATAGCAAGAGGTTCTGTCAAAATAAAAAGTAAAAAAATGGTCTGGAGATGTAGCTCAATGGTAAAGCACCCCTGGGTTCAATCCCCTGTGCAAAAAAAAAAAAAAAAAAAAAGTTGAAGATTTAAGAATGAATGGGCCTAGAGTCATGCTTACATATCCAGATCAAGCAAGTCAGAGTGCTTGGCATGGGACATGTACAAAGCCTTCAATACAGGCTAACAGAGACATTGGACCTTGGTTTAAGTATTTAAATGGGGAACCACAAAATTTGGCCACTGTTCAGTGGCAAATATAAGGAGAAGAGTAAGACAAGATTAGTTATCTATGCTGATTCTAACTGAACTCCATTGACGCACCCACCCCTTCCTTACCAGTTAAATTTGAGGTAGGAGGGCAGAATGAGAAGCTCAAAATTCTGAAAGCCGTTTACTACCACTGCCACTGACTCATGAAGACCAGGAATGAGYTGCACACAGTGGCACATACCTGTAATCACAGCAACCCGGGAGACTAAGACAGGAAGACAGCAAGTTCCAGATCATCCTCAGCAACTTAGCAAGACTCTAAGCAACTTAGGAAGTCCCTGTCTCAAAATAAAAAAGGTTAAAAAGGTTGGGAATGTAGCTTAGTGGTAAAAACCTAGGAGTTCAATCCCCAGTACCAAAAACAAACAAACAAACCAGGTATGGAGTTCAAAGGCACTCTCTACCCTCAGCACAGGCAGACTCTTTCGATTCAAAAACTGGGCCAAGATGCTGGTCCAAGTTATTTAAGTGACCACACATTATTGTCCTGCCTGGAAATTTAGGGACCAGGAAGTGATGGGGTTGCAGTTGCTTTGTGCCTATTTCTTGCTCTTACCATCCATCACTCATTGTTGTTTGTGCAATTGCTCAATGGGCTGCTTGTCTTTGGTCAGCCCAGSCTGTGTGGGTAGCAGTGTGGTCAGCTGGGCTGGGAGCCAGGCCACCTGGGTTCTGGTCCCAGCTCAGCCAACCCCTAATCCATTAATTGACTCCCTTCCTATGCCTATGCRTCTTTCTCTCCCTAGAAACTAGAGGCCTCCTCTCTAGTAGTGTACAGCCATTTAGGCTGTCACTATATAGATGCGTAAAAGGAGCTGTCTGATATAAATGTCACAGCAGCCTGAACACAGATGATTATTTTTTGCTCCCAGGTGGAATTATAATAGTACAGAAAGAAAGAAAAAAAAAAACAGCAGAAAAAATCCTACCAGTATACACAGTGTACACCCTCAACTGCTATCAGATTCAAAGTTCTTTTCCACCTTAATGRCCTGTCTTTGTTTACTCTTCTTAGCAATTCTAAGTTTGCTTCAAGGAGTTCCCTGACCTTTTACTTGACTTTAAGCAACAGCAAAAAAACACAACTTTGCATTTCACCAGAGGAACTAAAAAGAGAAATATATTAATACCAGGACGAATGGATAGAATAGAGGAAAATGTTCAGACAAAGTTATGTTGCTGCTGTCCAGAGAGAATAAAAAAAGAGAAAAATTACGTGTATTTATATGCTTTTGTGGTGGGAGAAAAAAAAAACAAACCAAAATAACTTCCTTTCCACCACCACTACTATAATTTAGACCAGTGGTTCTAAGGAGTTTTTAAAACTATGTACTATACATACCTAGAAACCTCAGATTAACTCAGAATTCTTGGGATTGAAGATCATGCAAAAAAAAAAAAAAAAAAAATATATATATATATATATATATATATATATATATATGTTCTTTTAAAGGTAAACACCTTCCTGCCCTTTGACCAGCAAGTTTACTTCTAGGTATTTACTTACCAGAAATGAAAATATATGTCCCTGGGGCTGGGGATGTGGCTCAAGCGATAGCGCCTGGCTTGCGTGCGGCCCGGGGTTCGATCCTCAGCACCACATACAAACAAAGATGTTGTGTCCGCCGAAAACTAAAAAATAAATATTAAAAAAAAAGAAAATATATGTCCCTGAAAACTTATACATGAATATTCATAATAGTTTCATTTATAATAGTCACAAACTGGAAATATCTCAGATGAACACAAACAGAAAAATGGAAACCTGTATTGATCATACCATAAAATACATTTTTAAAAAATAACCAACTTTTAAACACAACAATATGGATGAATCTCAAAATCATTTGTTGAGGGCTAGGGGTGTAGCTCAGTTGTGAGCATTTGCCTAGCATGCATGAGGCCCTGGGTTTGATCCCAGCACTAAAAAAAAAGCATTTGTTTTCAGGGAAAAAAAATTATATGACATTCAAAAACAGGCWATCAGTCTGTTAGAAATCAGCCCTTTTTACCCATGGGAGGGGTGAAGAGTGAATGATTGAATAGAAGGGACATGAGGGAAATTTCTGGGTTGGTAGAAATGCTCTGTATATCTTGATAAGGGTACACATACATCAAATTGCATATTTAAGAATGGTGTGTGTCAAAACTCAACTCTAAATGGATCAAGGACCAAGGCATTCGACCAGAGACCCTGCACTTACTAGAAGAAAAAGTAGGCCCAGCTCTCCAACATATCAGCTTTGAAACCATATTCCTCAGCAAAACTCCTGAAGCGCAACAAGTAAAATCAAGAACTAATAAATGGGATGGTATCAAACGAAAAAGCTTCTTCACAGCAAAGGAAACAATCAAGAACATGTACAGAGATCCTACAGACAGGCAGAAAATTGTTACCACCAGTACCTCAGATAAGGCATTAATTTCTAGTATATACAAATAACTCAATAAGTTAATAAGTGGGCAAAGGAACTAAGCAAACACTTCACATAAGAAGAAATATGAAAGGTCAAAAATATATGAAAGAAATGTTTAACATATCTAGCAATTAGAGAAATGCAAAATAAAACTACTTTAAGATTCCATCTCCAGTCAGAATAGCAATTATAAAGAATATAAATAAGAGTAAATGTTGGTGAGGACGTGAGAGAAAGGGTACACTCAGACATTGCTGGTGGGAATGCAAATTGGTGCAACCACTCTGGGAAGCAGTATGGAAATTCCTCAGAAAACTTGAAATGGAACCACCCTTGGACCCAACTATCCCAGTCCTAGGTTTATACCCAAAGGACATAAAATCAGCYTACTACAATAACATAGCCACATCAATGTTTATAGCAGCTCAACTCATAATAGCCAAGCTATAGAAACAAACTAGGTGCTCTTCAACTGATGAATGAATAAAGAAAATGTGGTATAGATACACAATGGACTATGATTCAGCCACAAAAAAGACTGAAATGGCATTTGCCGGTAAATGGATGGCACTGGAGAATATCATGCTAAGTGAGATAAACCATTTCCCAAAATACCGAAGGTCAAATGTTCTCTCTGATTTGTGGATGCTAACCCAAAACAAGGAGGTTGGGAGGGGAATAATAGAAACCCGCTGTATTAGACAAAGGGARATAAAAGGCAKGGACAGGGAGCGGATAGGAAAGACAGTAGAATTAATCCGTGGTAAATGTCCTACCCTTGTATTTGTGTAAGTTACTCAGACCAGAGTAACTTCACATCTTGTACAACCACAAGAATGGGATCCTAAATAGAATAAAGTATACTCTATGTATGTTAATCTGCCAGAGAACATTCTACTGTCATATATAACTAAACAGATTTTTTTAAAGAGTATATGAATTTTACTTCAACTCCAAAAATGGAAAAAAATCCAGTATTCCTTAACCAGCCTATAAGTTTATATGAATTTGTGGATCATCCGATTGTTATTTGCTGATTATGAAGCTCGATGAGGTTAGTTCACAATTTCATGTACAGTAATTAGCATGGTATCTTGACTTATGTGGTCAATTGTTAAGTAGCTGTAGAATGAGTGAATGAATGAATTAGTAGCTAGCTACCATTGTTTTGGTAGCTTATTATTTCATATTCAGACTCTTAGAAAAGTGTAACTAGAGCCAGGCACGGTGGCCCTTGCCTACAATCCCAGCAGCTTGGGAGGCCCAGACARGAGGATGGCAAGTTCAAAACTAGCCAAAGCAATTCAGTGAAGTCCTAAGCAACTTTTGTGAGACTCTGTCTCAAAATAAAAAATCAAAAGGGCTGGGGATGTAGCTCAGTAGTAAAGTGCTCCTGGGCTCAATCCCCTGTACCAAAGGGGGAAAAAATTATAACTGGGCCTCTCTATTCTCAGGCCCTCTGTCTGCTTGCATATCACTGCTAGATCATGCTTCCTAAAATATTTTATTGATCTTTTCTCTCTTTTCCAAAGCTATCACAGACATATTGATTGCTTAGCCAATGTCAATCCCCCTTCTTCCTCCTTGATTATAGAACTGTGA